TGAAATAAGAGCCTTCAGGTGGGGGGAGGGGGCAGTGACCCGGGATAGAGTGGGGAGGCTGGGACTGCAGTGAAATAAGAGCCTTCAGGTGGTGGGGGTGCTCTGTATTTCAAGTCACAGCCACATACATATTTTTTTGAGAGTCACTGATACACGCACTTGAAACTTGTGAGTTCTTAATGTATCCATTTATACCTTAAGGTGATTTAAAAATAATAAATGAGTCTCAATGTGCAGATACTGTGACTGTTCTCCTTTGACAGACTTCTGTAATGAACTATATTAACACAATAGGTCTTTTTTCCTTTACCTATTTTATGTACTTGTAAAGAATTACAACAAAGATATGATCATTGTAGAGAAATGTTTAAATGCAATTAAGCATTATGAAAAGAAAAATGTAACACCAAAAATACCTACATGGCAGAGATTATTATCAACATTTTTAGCCCTCCCAAACACTGACCAAAATAATGGTGCACACAAAATCATGTGTGCATGCCCATCACAGGAATTTGTACATGTGTGTGCACACACCTCCATCATGTTACCAGCTACTTAAAATATTTCAGTGCCCTATAAGACTCTAACCAGGGGTGTCCACCCATTTGGCTTCTTTGGGCCACATTTGAAATACAAAGTTGTCTTGAGCCACACATCAAATACACAAATACTAACAAAAACTGATGACCAAGAAATATCTCTGTGCATAATTTTCATCATACCTGACACCACAGAGAAGCAAAAAGGTCCTCACACATGTGGCTCACAGGCCACAGGTTGGACACTCCATACCTGATCACGTGTTAGTTTCCTCTTGCTATTTAGTGGCCTAAATCAAATCTATCCCTTGATAGTTCTTAAGGTCAAGACTCTGATATGAATTTTATGGGGATAAAATCAAGGTGCTAGCAGAACTTCACTCCATCTGGAAGTTTCAGGGGAGAAGCTATGTCCTTGCCCATCCCAGAACAGAGAGCTGTATGTGTAACCTGCACCCCTGGCCAGGCCCTCCCTGCATCCTCCAAGTCAGTGGTATAGCACCTTCTCTCTCTGACTCTGCTCCATCACTCGGTCCTTTTCTCTTCTGTATGAAATGCCCCCCTACCTCTCCTACACCAGGACCCCTGTGGTTATACTGGGCCACCTGGATGATCAAGACTATCTCCCATCCCAAAATCCTTGCACTCCACCCACCTCTCAGCCCACACCCAGCCCCCTGAACTTTGGCATTGCTCTCCTCTTGGTTCTTTGAACACACCATACCTAGGGGACGTATCAGAGTAAGGGAGAACCCACTCTGTGTAGCAGAGGGAAGAGAACCTCCATTGCCTGGGATAGCCAGATGGGGAGAGAAGAACTGATAATACTGGGGACTATGCTGTTTAAACTACCCAAAGAAGACCCTCCAGGGGCAGGTGTTCACTGAGTCATCCAGAGAACAGGTGCCATTAACAGAGGCTGTCTGCTTAGGCAAAATAAAACTTCCTGTCTCCTCTGAGGAATTCTTCATCAGGCCCACACTATGCCCTGTGGCTCCCATGTGCCTGTGTGGAAAGGGTGGGCTCCACACAGGTGGAGGGTCCAGGTGGCTATAGGGTGAACGCAGTGGCATGCAGATGCAGGGGTCACAGAGATACACACCACAAACTGACATGCAGGTTATAGGAGGATAGGAGCACTGGGCACATCCCTCATAAGCAGTGCTCCCTGGCCTGGGACTCAGAAGGATGGGCCAGAAGGACAGGGACAGCATCACGAGAGACCGAAACCCAACCATACTGTTACTTCGGAAACTCTGAATATCCCTGCATGCCTGGGGGGCCCAGGAGTGGGGTGTGCCTGTCACTTACAGCTGTGGAGAGCCTAGATGCCAGCGTCATCTCCAGATTCCCCTTGAGGCCCACGAGAGGTGGCACCAATGTCAAAAGGTCTTTAACTTCCATAAATACAGGCCAATGCTGGAGGAGAAAGAATAAGGAGATAAATGTAAACACATTTCAAGCATCTTGAGAGAATCCTCTGCAAGCTTCTTTTCACTCTCTATAAAATGAACAAAACTAAGTAAATTCTTAAATGGCTGTAAACTAAACAAAAAAGGTTGAAACTGAAATGTTTTAATACCAACTACTGAATCAGCATTAGCAGCCCTAGGCAAGCCAAGGGCAGGGCCAGCTCAGAGGCCATTTGGCAGAACAAGGGTCATCTGGTCTGCAGAATGTAGAGAGGTGTCTCAGTTACTGATTCTAAACCTGGATATTTCTCATGAACTAGGACACTGTGTGACACCTGGAAAGATGCCAGTTGCTGTTGCCCACAGGGCCCTTCACTCTGATCTCAGGTGCTTGGGGCTGAGTGGAGATATGGCCAACTAATCTGTGGGGCTCAGGATTTTTAAAATCAGATATGATATGTTTCTATCCCATATCTCTATTAAACGTCAAAAAGTAAATAAATAATTAAATGAAGGGATTCATGCTTCAATAAAAGTGTAAAACATTTATTTTATGGAGACAAAAATGATTCTTACCTGTTTAACATGTAATTAGAGTCCTCCCCAAAATCGATTTTTAATATTCCATCTGATGCTACTAATTTATTTTGCCTACCTGGCCCCGATAGAGACCTGTGACCCCTACACTAGAACTTCCTGCTAGTTTTGGAATTCTAGGCCAAAAAGCAAATCCCTGCCTCTGAGACAGATGGCCTAGGGTCTTGTCTAGGCCGTGGGCCAGAAGAGGTTCCCAAAGCAACCCAGCAAGGGCTATCTCAATACCAGGTCCTGAGATAAATGGAAACAGCTTTTCAGTTTCTCCCTTGACTTCTTTTTTTTTTATTATTAAATCATATCTATGTACATTAATGCTATCATGGGGTACAGAGTGCTGTTGCTATATACAATTTGAAATACTTTCACCAACTGGATAACATAGCCTTCATGTCATTTTCTTATTCTGTTAAGACATTTATATTCTACATTTAGAGAGATTCACATGTACCCTTGTAGGATAAACCATAGGCATGACCCCACCAATCACCCTCCCTCCACCCATCCTCCCTGCTCCCCTCCCCTCCCTCTCCCCTTTCCCCATATTCTTGGGCTAAAATTGGGTTATAGTTTTCCTATGAAAGCTATAAATTAGTTTCATAGTAGGGCTGAATACATTGGATACTTTTTCTTCCATTCTTGGGATACTTTGCTAAGAAGAATATTTTCCAGCTCCATCAATGAAAACATGAAGGAGGTAAAGTCTCCATCTTTCTTAATGGCTGCATAGTATTCCACGGTGTACATATATGACAATTTATTGATCTATTCATGGATTGATGGGCTCTTGGGCTTCTTTCATGACCTAGCAATTATGAATTGGGCTGCAATGAACATTCTGATACAAATATCTTTATTGTAGTGTGATTTTTGGTCTTCTGGATATATAC